TTCTTCATGAAAAACATTCAGTTTTAGGATCACTGTGGTATGTAAAAGATGATTTCAGATGGATTATGCTGTAATGATTCATCGCTAATCTATACCTCAGATAATTATTCTGTAAATGGTCATTCTGTGTCTAATACTGTGAATCACACAAAAGCTACTATTTTATGGCTGGCTGACTACAATACAAGGAAAGCAGTTGTTAAATTTAGAGGCAATGTGAAGACAGAAAATTATTCATCCTTTTGAAACAAGATAGTAAAATTAGCTCATCAAGAATTTTGTCTCTTATGGGAAAAGGAACATTCTTAATCTGGAAGAGGACTCTGCCTTTCTGCAGGGAGGCAACCGTGCCAATATTGTAAAGTCTGAGCAGTCACTACTGACTTATTAGAAATAGCAGCAGCCCAGGGGAAAGAAATGGGTCCCTCTGGAAAATCTGGGCGCCACAAGGAGTAAATGTATATTTTTAAATTTAGAATGTGGACATTTTTCATTATTTAGTAGAAGAAAGGGAGAACTGTTTGATCTTAAAAGAATGACTCTGTGGCACCAAAAAAGTAGGTAAGGTTTAAAATTACCTACTAGATCAAATAGTCCAATTTGATATCGCTCTAAAAGCATAGCAAAATCACATAAAAATGAAAAATACTACTAATTCATTTGTGGCCAGATACATCTGTAAAAAACTAAATGGGTTTCCAGAGGAATTGGTAACAAGAACAGTGGTCATGTATTCATGGGTAGGGCAGAGGGTGAAGCCAAGGGCACCTTAATATCTTCTGTTGGTAACTACAGCATTTCATGAAAAGTTAAGCAAATTTTTAAAATTATGTACTAAACGCATATACTCTGCACATGTTTGAACAAGAAAATCCATTAATTATCTCATTGCACTCTGTTGAAAGCTATGACAGTCCATTCAGGAATTTGTGAAGTCTCCAGCAAAGTGATACACTCTAAATGTGGAGATTTCTGGGGTAAATTTTAAGCTTCTCTGCTAAATACTACCTTTTCCATGTACCTAGACTCAGGGGCTCCAAGAGATGACATGTAAGGCCAGAAGAGCTATTATTCATTTTCTTGAGTATGCCTGAATGTGACTAAATTACTAATCACACCAGTGAAGAAAGAATGAGATATGCTAATGAGTTTTTCCCTTTCAAAAATTGTTTAATTTTTTTATTAGTGGGGTTTATCACTTTTAAGATCTAAAGGGATTCTCAAAGTTTCATGTGGCCCAACAATAGGTTTCACAAACTCTTAGAGGAAGAGAGAAGTTTGGCTGCATATTATATTTCCATAGTGGTTTGACCAAGTAAGTGTTTGTTTTTCTTCCAATGCAAGAAGTGCAGAGGCGGGCAGCCCAAAGTCAGCATGCGGCAGCTTTACAGCATCGTGGGCATCCTACTTCCTATCTTTCTGCTCCTGGTTTCCTCATGATTACAACATGGCTGCTCCTCCTTCAGGCTCACATCCACATTCCTAGCAGAAATCGGAAACAGAGTGACAAAGAAAACATGGCATCGGGGAAACAAAATTTTTCCAGAGATCTGGAGCCAATTTCCACTTATATTTCTTTGGCTGGAATTGTGTCACCTGGCCATGTTTAGCTACAAAGGAGACTGGGAAATAGAGTTTTATTTGTTTGATTTTTTTTAATGCTAAACACATTGCTCCCTCCAACAAAATGAAGGTCTTTCTACTAGAAAGGAAGAAGGGAGAATGAATATTGTGTAGGCACCTCACGTCATCTGCTGTGGTATCTCCTCTCTACCCTTCACCATTTTATATTGAGAAAACTAGATCGAGTGACTTACTCAGCAGCACACAGCCAGTTCATGGCAAAGCTGGACTAAAATTCATGAGTGCAAGTATCACAGGGCTGACCTGCTGACTGTGGAAGAACAGGTACCCCGTAGGAGCCTCCATCTGAGGTAGAGATAGCACCACGCCGGGGAACAATTCAAAGGCGAAGACAAGGCCAAGATTCTAAGCAGCCGGAGCGGTCACCCTGTCTGGTTCCCCCTTACATTATGCTTTTCTATGTTCTGCATTATGTTTACTCTATTATAATAGGCTCATATGTGGGATCTTGGGTATTCAGTAAGTGCAAACATTGAACATTTAAAAATATTATTATTCTCTGTTGCCAGTCATTTGTTTCAGCACCTTTGAAGTCAGGTCAGAACATGCTTCTATATTATTACAATAAATTTGTTCTAAACTGCACCGAAGAGGATAATTAGAACGAATAAGATGGAGTTCAGTTCAGGATTAAGAAGAAACTTCTGATGATGAACTAGATTATGTTGCTTGAGGTCAAGTACCTGCATTCTAGCAAGGCACTTTGCAGGTTCTAGGTATTAAATCAATACCTTTCCATTTGAAAGCTGTATCCAGAATTGCTCAGGACCACATCATGGATTATCATTCTTCCTCTGAGTAGGAGTTTGTAGCAGATAACCTTGGAGGTGCATCTCAAGAAAAAAAATGTCATGATTTGATTATTAAAATATAGATGGTCAACATAGTTTTTTTAATAATTTTTTTTGCCTAAGATGTCAGATAAACCTTTTTCCCACCTTGTGACCTTTGACATGCAACTCCTTCTTCTTGAAATTCTCATCCCCCCAATTTTTCACATCCTTCAGTTCAGATGTCATTCCTCAGAAAGGCTGCCTGTGGCTAACATATCTGAAAGAGCCCACACCCACTCATCAGAGATTGAGTTTGGCTCCCTACAGGATAAGCCATCAGCACACCTAACAGTACATCTTTCTAACTGATTGATACAGCCAATAATATGTTCAGCTTCGAAGATGCCCACTGGGGCTTTGGCATCTGGGATCTAGACTCTTTCTAATGCCCTCCAGATGAGTATTAGGGCACAATCACACACACACACACACACACACACACACACACACACACACCACAGAGACCCCAAACAAACAATCATCTCTAGACAAACGTTTATCTAAATCCAGACTTTTAGGAATGTTTCAACGTTATTTGCATTGTTAATAAATTGAACGCAACACCTCAGTCTGAAATACCTGAATTTAGATGACTTTGCCACATGTTCACGATGTGCTTCATGTGGAATGTATTATTCTGGAACAAAACAAGGTCTTCAGTTTTTTCTTAATTATATGCCTGGGAAATCTCTCCATCTTCGTTCATTTAGATCTATCTTTATACATGTTCTTTATGCATTGCATGAGGGTTTTTCTGGAGTAGACTTTGAAAAGTTTAACTTTGGGGCTATGGAGTCTGTGAATTTTTAATTTTACTGTAAACTACCTTCCAAAGTAGCTGAACTAATTTGTACTCCTTATCAGCAGTATATAATGGTAATTATTTCTCCCCACCCTCCCTAACATTTGATATAAAACATTTTTTTTCAATCTGATAGATACATAATGCCATTTTTCTGGCAAAAAAGGTCTAGTCTCCACCTAAAACAAATGGATAGATAGATGGATAGATACCACACATCCATTAACATATATCATTCATAGATGTTTATTCAGACTAAATCTTCTCACATCATTATAAACTCTGTTATTTTTAACTGCTTTATTATGATGAACATTTTAATACAAATCACAATTCTAATTTTAACCAGTTTCCTAAACTTCAATATCAGTCATGAATTAAAGAATGAAAATATGTATACTAAGTCAAGACTTCAAAAAGTCGCACACTACCTCCATTCCTTTTTTTCCTTAATATCCGGACATGTTGGTATGAGATCTAGGAATCTGAGTTGGTGGTTAGGATGTTTGAAAGTCTGAGGGAAGCTGACCAGAAATTGCTCATTAGAGGCAGAGGTACAGAGCAAACAAGAGGTCAAAACAATTTTCTCTCCATTACTGAGAATTTATAATATAAAAAGGGGGACAACTAACTGTAACATTTTACACATTCAACAAATATTTATCATTATCTACTGTATGCTAGGGACTGGGTGTATGTGGGAGCAAAATAATTATCCGTTCTCGTGGAGTATTCAGTCTAGTGGAAAGGCACAAATAACCAATGCAATTACCAAGTGGTGAAGAGTATGAAGGAAACAAATGATGCCGACAGACAGTAACACCTAACTGTGCTACCGTTTCAAGAGACCTAAGACACAAAAAGATGCTCTCCGTGCAATATTAGGAAGAAAGCATTCCTCAGAGTGATTTTAGCATTTTTACCTGGCCTTAATTGTGGTAGGCTGAGAGAACCCGGTGAAAAGAGTGGCAGTGGAACCAGGTGAGGTGGGATAGAGGGAAACAGGACAGGTACAGATGCCAATAGCTTTGTAGGATGAGCTAAGAGAAAATGAGAGCAGGACAGCCTGCTAGAGCAGAGGAGAGATTTCAAAGCCAACGAACTGCCACTCTCCAATGCATGTGGCAGACTGTGGAAGGCATTGCTTAGTACAGAACATGCCTCCCTAATGAATTTCATTGCAGTGAGCTGTTACATACTTTTATAAATATGTGAAGGTGCTTTAGGTAAAATATATGTATTTGATTCCATTTCTAGCATATCATAGATCCTCAATAAATGTGTGTTGAAATGAAATTCATCTGTTAACTTAACATTCTCCCCAAATATTTCCCATTTCTTTTCTCACATTGAGTCTTTTCCCCTTGATGTATTGTCCTCTATTATACTATGTTATATTTTTAATGAGTCAACAACACACAGGTATATTTTTAAAGTAAAACTGACATTTATTTCTTTAAAAATTGGCAGAGCAGTAACGTGAGTATCAATGCCAAAATAAAGATTAACTTATCATTAGAATTTATTAATATGAAGCCCCTAATGGAAGTAGCTATTAATAGCAAAAACAACTATTGATGAATAAATACCAAGAGAAGGGTAAACAAGAATTGCTCCCTTTTATCCAAAAGTTATTTGGCACAGAAAGTCTTGTTTTGTAGATTTTATTACTACAGGTCAGGTTAATTACTATACAGCTAATTTTTATCATTTTAATGCAGGATTGTGGTTTGCTGATTCAACCAGAGGAAACCTGCGGGTTACAGCCCATTTCTTCTGACTACATTGAAGCCATTTCACAGCCGGGACTAAAGACCTGTCCATCTGGGGACACAAAAGGTGACTATTACACTGGATATCATTTCTACTTTTTTTAAAAAAAAATCCTTTAATATAGATAAGCAGTAGATGTTTATTTATTAAACTCTTCTTGTACAAAAAAAATCAAGGTAATATGACACTTTTTCATTAATATGAACTACAGCACATAAAATTAATGTAAATGCATTGTTTTAATATGTGAAATATTTTGATTAATCAAATGCTTTTCTTTTCGTCCTCTGCTCTTTGCTCAGTTAATGCATGTTCACCTTTAGACTTCAGCCAAAAAGTCACTTGTGCCGTAATGCCTTCCTTGAGTCTCTGACTTGTTTTCCTTATTACGTATTGTCATAGCACCCAGTGTTCTTCTTCCATGGTGATTTCCTCAATTATTCAGATGATTAAATGTGTAGTTGATTGTTTGATGTCAGTCTTCCTGGGCTGTCAGCTGCATGAGGGCAGGGCGTCTGAGTTGTTCACACTCTACCAATTCACTTAACACTATACTTTCCGCAGAGTAGGTACAAGATAAGTTGACCTTGTGAACCCAAAGGACTGGAAAGGATACAAGTTCAGTTTTAAACCATTTCTCTTAGTTAAAAAAAAAAATCTTTGGGAATGGTCACTAACATCTCCCATACATTGAACATGCATAGAGGCAGGAAAATCCTGATGTCAAATTCAAATTACAGTGTTCAATCCTGCCTACGCCTAGGGCAGACCTGGAATGAGGCACTTTCGTGCCACTGTCTACTTCCCCTGTTTCTTTCCTTCCCCAGCACTGTTCTTTCAGTGGAGGCTAGCTGGAACTAAAAATGCCTCCAAGACAGTAAGAGGAGGAAAGAGCATCTTCTCTGTGATTCCTGGTTACTGCTCTGGCCTCCTGACCCCAAGTCTCCCTCCATCTAAAAAGTCTGAGAAAACACTCAGGAGCTTTTCTACCCTTGCCATGAACTTCACACCACAGCGTGAACAGGAAATGAGTTTCACAAATGGGTGGGACAAATTGCAATTTGGCATGCACGGTTAACAAACGTGGGCATTTCTTGAACATGTGTCCTAAATAATAAATTACAGTCAGTGCATAGGGAGGAATTTACCCATTATGGTGTGTCAGGTGGTATGACTTATGATTCTTGGCTAAATGAGATATATGCTCTTATATACAAAGGAGACACCAATGTGTCTAGGTATTTTTTATCAGATGACAATTTATGAGAATCATAAAAACAACTTAATTCTGTTCCTCCTGCTGAACCGAGTCAAAAGTTCTTCAACAAAAAGTTGAAGATACATTACTGAGATTCCTCAAGAAGTGGCAGCTTCTTCTGTCCGTTAAACTTGCAGTAACTTATGCCAGGCCCTGTTCTGAAGCCATGCCTGGTCCTTACAAGAGAGGCTGCCATAAAACAGGGGCCTTGGGACTTCCCTGGTGGCACAGTGGTTAAGAATATGCCTGCCAATGCAGGGGACACGGGTTCAATCCCTGGCCCAGGAAGATCCCACGTGCCGTGGAGCAACTAAGCCCGCAAGCCACAACTACCGAGCCCACGTGCCGCAACTACTGAAGCCTGCGTGCCTAGAGCCCATGCTCTGCAACAAGAGAAGTCACTGCAATGAGAAGCCCGCGCACTGCAACTAAGAGTAGCCCCCACTCGCCACAGCTAGAAAGCCCAGGTGCAGCAATGAAGATCCAGTGCAGCCCAAAAATAAATAAAATTAAAAACAAAAACAAAACAAAAAAAACACAGGGGCCTTCTGGTAACTTGAGTAGTTACGCCTCTTTAAAAAAAAAACACAATATTGACACCCCAGTCAAGTTCATATTCCTTAACCTGACAATAATCTGACCTCTCCTATCTCTCCCAACTCGTCCTAGCCTCTTTTTCTTCTTTCTTTTTTGCTCTGCATTGGGTCTTCCTTGCTACGCATGGGCTTTCTCTAGTTGCAACGATCAGGGGCTACTCTTTGTTGCGGAGCACACGCTCTAGGCGTGCAGGCTTCAGTACTTGCAGCACGTGGGCTCAGTAGTTGCGGCACGGGGGCCCTATAGTGCAGGCTCAGTAGTTGTGGTGCACAGACTTAGTTGCTCCACGGCATGTGGGATCTTCCCAGACCAGGGATCGAACCCATGTCCCCTGCATGGGCAGGTGGATTCTTAACCACTGCGCCATGAGGGAAGCCCCATCTTAGCCTCTTGACCTCATTTCATGCTGATTATCAGCTGCAGGACTCCAGACTGCTCCCCAGGAAGTCCTTCTTTACTACCCCACCCCTAGAGTTGCTTCTCTTCTATGCACCCAGAATATCCTGGACATATGTCTACAAATAGCACTCACCTCACTGTATTTCAAGTATCTAATTTACATGTTTCTCTTTCTTCCTCTAATCAGTAGTCTTCAAAGTGGAGTACTGCAGCCATGCAAGGGGAGTGAGTGGCACAGAGCAATCCACAGGGAAGAAGCCAGTAAAGATGAAAATATATGTACATTTATTTTTATTTAATTATGCTTATTTTTATGTTTTATGATGGATGTGTATATATGTAATATATACATACAGGAGTAGGTGTACACGTAGTACAGGGTACGTGTATTAATATGTCAAAGGTGCATCAGCAATAAGTTTGTACTGATGGCTGCACGTAGATCACACGTGTGTCCAGAGCAAAGATTGTACCTTATTCATCTTTCAGTGTCTGAGATATGATTTTAACATAGTGGCTGAACTAAAACCACGATCCAAGCCCTCCTCTCTTTCACAGAAGACTCTTAGCAGCAGGGCACAATCAGCTAGAGACAACAGCTCCATCCTTGAGGTCCTAGAGACCTAAAGATTCAAAGCAAATGAGTGAGATCAGAGACAGCACTTTGCAAGAATGCACTTTTTTTTTTTTTGCTGTCAGAGATGATTTCCTTCCTTGATGGTAGGACTCCCTTCTATAGAAAGAAGTTGTCACATTAGATGACATTGGGAGGACGTTTATTTTAGGACTCTTGCTTTAGCTTATAAGGCCATAGAATGGCTCCAAAATCTTATTTTCACAGCACATTACAGTTATTTGGCAGAACTGAATCCATTTTTTCTCCTTGAAAAATGTTTTTTCAATAACACTAGCTAATATAATTTTGAGTGACTTCTTTTTACTAAGTTGAATTCTAGCCTTTTGAAAATAGTTTAACTATAAGACACAACCTAAGAATAAAATCTTTTGCTCAGTAAAGAAAAAATAATTCTTCTAATTTGCAGAAAGAAGAAATTTATATGATCATTGAGTGAGAATTACATTTAAAGAAAATAATTTAGATTGCATTTTATAATATGTAAACAAAAGCTTTTATCGTATCTTTTTTTTTTGCGGTACGCGGGCCTCTCACTGCTGTGGCCTCTCCCGTTGCGGAGCACAGGCTCCAGACGCGCAGGCTCAGCAGTCATGGCCCATGGGCCCAGCCGCTTCGCGGCATGTGGGATCTTCCCGGACCGGGGCACGAACCCGCGTCCCCTGCATCGACGGGCAGACTCTCAACCACTGTGCCACCAGGGAAGCCCTATCGTATCTTTTTTTGGAAGGAAATATAACAACTTACAGTTTAGTATTTCTAATATTGAAAATATAAATGTATTTTTTCTTCTTAAGTAAAAACTGCCTTATTTTATAGCATTATAGATTCAGGAATTAGTGCTGTCATTTATATGATTTTACATCTCACCATGGCCCTAAATCACAAAGTCGAACTTCTTTTCTCCATTATATCACCCAATCCAATTCACTTAAATGGCTGAAATTTAACTTGCATTAAATGTAAAGCTATAATGATAAATTAAATAACTGCTCCCAAAAGGCAATTTCATTCCTCAGAATGTTATTCCCTAAGACATATGTCATACCTTATTTCAGAAATCACAGCTTTGATTCATTCATTGTTTAAATATATAACACAGAATTTATGTCCTTCTTCTTGACAATTTTTGTTGAGCTGGAATCATTTAAAATATCAAGAAAGCCCAGTCCTGCAGATGTTATACAGATGTCTATTTCAAGTAGTATTACTAACTCACAATAAAAAAGGCATTATTAAGTGATACAAAAATGCAAAGAGTTATGACTATAAATATATAGTAGTATGAACCATTGGAGCTAAGTTTTCAGAGACCCAATCAGGCATCTTTTTTTACGTGCATGTGATTTTATGCCCACAAACTAATACATATTTGTATCTTTGTGCATGCAACTGGCCACTTGTTTCTTCAGCCTTAGCAGCAAATGGCCAAAGATCTTGGTTTGTGCAAAACTAGCTGTCAATGAGTTTGGGAGTCGGGTGAGGAGACAGTATTTGGGGAGGGGATACACACGCTGTTAGGTACTCAAGGATCTGAGGAAAACTGAGCCCTTCAAAGTATTATTAAATAACATCTCATTTTCAGAAACACATTTATGTCCCCAGCATACCACCGTCTTGTGAAAAACACATAGTCTCTGAGTACATGAACCCACTGAATAAATCCAGCTTATAAAAATACATTTATTGCGACAGCCTGTTTGTGGTTTTCTTCTATAAGTGCTACCAGAGAGACTGCTGAGCCACATTGCATTTTCAGCTGATGACTATGTGCTGACCTAACCTAACCTGATAAAAGGATCAGCACACTGGAGACTCTGAGACCTCGATTTTGGTCCAGCCCTGTTGTTGGCATGATCCCACTTCTGTCATTTAACATCTTGGGCCTCAGTTATCCTCACTATAAAAGAAGAGGATGGAAAAGAGGAGATCCCAGGCCCCTTCCAACTGTATCCACAACCCACAAAATGTCTATGAAAAAAAAAAGACTATTTCAGAAGGAGGTTTTCTTGAGGAATTCATCGACGAAGGATAAACGTAAAGGCCGTGTCTAAATCAAATAGTATTAGGAACCAAACAAAGATGTGAAAGATGTGGATAACTGGTTACAAACCCTGTATGCCAGGGCAAAATTAGAATTAGAAAGCAAGATATATTCTGAATGAAAACCGCAGAAGAATTATAAAAGAGAATCGGATGGAGAAACAAACACTTTTGAGAACGGTCTTCATTTTGCCATTCAAACCTCAGCACCACTCCCAAATGTTCAGTGTTGTATCTTTAAGTATTACTGCTATTCTCTCCATCTACAAACTTGGAAACACCTTTCACCGAGCAGACCTTCTTTTTATCTCCAGTATATACGGTCTGTTGTGGAGAGCAGTCACTTCTTCAGTCTCACTCCTGTCAGGTCTGTCTCCACTTAAAATCATCCATTCCACCTCTCCGAATCTTATCTATTCACAAACCCCTCTTCACATCTTATCTGCTCCACGGAACCTGCCAGACAACTCTGACCCCCATGGTGCTGTCTTTATTCTGATCTGCCATGGCTTGCTTAGGGTGAAGTTGGGTGGGGACGGTAAAATATATTCATCAATTTCTAGTATAAAGGCACTGTGGCCGATGCTCTACATATTTTTCTTAAAGAGAAGTAAATGTAATCATGAAAAGATTAAGTAATTTGTCCGAGGTAAACAGTGGTTCTCAACCTTGACTGCATATTGGAATCACTTGAAAAACATTAAAAAAAATACTGATACCTGAGTTCCGTATCCAGTGGTTCTGAGGTAATCAGTCTAGGGTACGAACTGGGCATGAGGATTTTAAAAACCGTTCCAGGTGACTTTAATGTACTTTAATGTTGAGGTCCACAGAGCTACCTGGAAGGAGAGCCCAGGTGTGTATGTCTCCAAAGCCCAGGCTCTTTGAGTACCACACTGATATTTTTTCTTAATTATGAATTACCTATTATTAAGCTTCTTACATGTATAAATTGTACCCTTCTCACCTGATTATAATTTTTGAGGTTTCACATTATAATCAACAGCATGGACTCTGGAGCTGACTCTTCAGCTCCATTCCTGGGTCTACCACCTCCTAGCTGGAATATATTGGACAAGTAACTTAACCTTTCTGAGTCCCAGTTAAGCCATTAGCACAATGGGGGTGATAATAGGGTGTCTCTGAGTTTAATTGAGTTAATATATTAAAGTGCTCAGAACATCCCTGACATCTGAGAGGTGCTATAACAATGTTAACTATTTCTTTCTTAGTTATTACCTTATTTTAACAACAAGAGTGCCTAATACCTAACAGGGTACATACTTCAACACTGTATTGAATGAAAATCCTCCTAGATGGAGAGTGATATGTATGTAGAGAAATGGAAGATCATTCACCAGACCTGAAATTGTGGAGATAGTATATTTAATGGGTAGATATTGAATAAGGCAGTTTTCTGGAATTCACATTAAGTTTAAAAAACAAAGCAAAGAAAAAGTTGTATGGTAAGAGGAACAAACAAGTCCACATTACTTTTGGACTGTCCAGTAGCTCAGCTCTCTGCTCCTGTTGGCACAGTGCTCCACTAAAGCAATTCTGCTGTGTGTATTCATCTCTTCCTTGGAAGTCATACTCTTCTTGTCTCCTTTCCTTTCTATTTCCTTCTGTTTCTCCCAGTTTCTCTCTCTTAATATACCCATGCTTTTTTTTTTTTTTTTTTAATTGGGGTATAGTTGCTTTACAATGGTGTGTTACTTTCTGCTGTACAACGAAGTGAATCAGCTATACGTATACATATATCCCCTCCCTCTTGGACCTCCCACACCCCCTCCATCCCACCCATCTAGGTCACCACAGAGCACCAAGCTGAGCTCCCTGTGCTATATAGCAGGTTCCCATTAGCTATCTATTTTACACATGGTAGTGTATTTATGTCCATCCCAATCTCCCAATTCATCCCACCCTCCTTCCCCCCACCATGTCCACAGGTCCGTTCTCTAAGAAGTCTGCATCTCTATTCCTGCCCTGCCAATAGGTTCATCTGTACCATTTTTCTAGATTCCACATATATGCGTTAATATACGATATCTGTTTTTCTCTTTCTGACTTACCTCACTAGGTATGACAGACTCTAGTTCCATCCATGTCTCTATGAATGACCCAATTTCATTCCTTTTTATGGCTGTTCTGTGATCAACCAGTAAGAGCTATAAACTAGATCTCTCTCCGTATTTATAACTATTTCCACACACACAAACCCTCACATACACAATTCTGACATCCCCGAGTCATGAAATTTAAAATGAAGCCTATTAATCCCCTGAAAGTAGAAATTCTTCCTGCTAAAATTAGTGTCACACCAGATACTTTTGTTAGCAGAACCATAAATCAAAGCCAGAGTAGATAAACTTGTTAAAAACTTTCCTTTCTAACTCAAAAACTATCGGGGAATATTTAGCTCCTCAATATATTTTTTAAAACAAAGGTTTTTCTTTTCTTTCTTTATTTATTTGGCTGTGTTGGGTCTTCGTTGCTGCGTGTGGCGAGCGGGGGCTACTCTTCGTTGCGGTGCACGGGCTTCTCATTATGGTGGCTTCTCTTCTTGCGAAGCACGTGTTCAAGGCGCTCAGGCTTCAGTAGTTGTTGCACGTGGGCTCAGCAGTTGTGGCTGTGAGCTCTAGAGTGGAGGGTCAGTAGTTGTGGCACACAGGCTTCGTTGCTCCGCAGCATGTGGGATTTTCCTGGACCAGGGCTCGAACCCGTGTCCCCTGCATTGGCAGGCGGATTCTTAACCACTGCGCCACTAGGGAAGTCCCATAGCTCCTCGATATTTTGAAGAGAAGCATGAAGCAGTAACATAAGCAAGACCTTTTGGGTAGAGCAGGTGATTGTTGAAGACATCAAGGTATTCTCCACAAAGGGCACAAGTAACTGCTCCATGTTTAACATGCTGGTTCACACTCCGTTCCTGAAAAGATAAACAAGGAAAAAACAAAAATCAAAAGTCATTTCAAGGCTTCCCTGGTGGCGCAGTGGTTGAGAGTCCACCTGCTGACGCAGGGGACACGGGTTCGTGCCCCGGTCCGGGAAGATCCCACATGCCGCGGAGCGGCTGGGCACGTGAGCCATGACCGCTGAGCCTGCGCGTCCGGAGCCTGTGCTCCGCAGCGGGAGAGGCCACAACAGTGAGAGACCCGCGTACTGCAAAAAAAAAAAAAAAAAAAGTCATTTCATGATATTTTTCTAATAAATTATTAATGTGTCCACTCACACTAAAAGCTGCAGTGTTTTGAATGCATGTTACTTTATCAGTAAAATAAGAAAGATCTTAAATGCAGCTTTTTGACAATATTCATTTATCTTATAAACATTTACTAAAGCTTGTGCCCTACTTTGTGCCTGAAATCAGCTGCTAACAAAGGTGAATATGATGTGGTAACTGTGCTGGGTCCTTTAAATACATTATCCCATTAAATCCTCATACCAATCATGTGAGGAGAACAGCACACACCTCATCTAACAGATGAAAAAATTAAGGTGACAGAGCTAGAAGGAGGTGAAGAGATTCACAGCAAAAAGGCCACCGGTCAAATTAAGGAGCAATCACTATTCTTCAAAACGATAAATTATCAGAATATTAAAGTAATTGTCTTATCGTATCTTGAATCTCTGGAGAGCAGAGAATGTAACTATTATTGGATTGGTAACCTAAGCATGTGTTAGGCTAGGAAATATGTGTGGCCAACCACCTCAGTATCAGTGGCTCCCTATATACTTTGGTCCTATTAAGTGGCTCGTGTACTGTTTGAAAATAAATAATAATTGAGTAGTACCCAATCACTTTAATTTTTTTTTAAGTATGTGTTTTTACGGAACAGAATTCATACTTGACTTCAGCATGAACTGTGTTATTTCAAAACATTACTACTTTAGGGTTTCCCTGGTGGCGCAGTGGTTGAGAGCCCGCCTACCGATGCAGGGGACACAGGTTCGTGTCCCGGTCCGGGAAGCTCCCACATGCCGCAGAGCGGCTGGGCCCGTGAGCCATGGCCGCTGAGCCTGTGCATCTGGAGCCTGTGCTCCTTAGCGGGAGAGGCCACAACGGTGAGAGGCCCGCGTATCACACACACGCACACAAAAAAAAAATTACTACTTGAGATTCTGTTTGGTCGGCAGGAGGCCATGCACTGCTCCACTGGGTTTATGTAAGAGTGGTCTGCTCTGTGATTTCTGTAATGGTGTGCCATCGCTGAATTCTAGACTTACTTGCAAACTGTAATTTCACCCATAGAAACTGAACCAAAGAAGTTTTGCTGTCTCTTCCAGGCCAGTGGATCGTGCCTTGCCTTAGCTGTTCAGACAACAGGACCTGTGACTGGAGAGAAATCACTTGGCAGCCTCACAACTGTCACTATGGTGTCCTAACTAAGCCTCAGCTCCAGCAGTGCCTGGGAGGAAGGAAGGTAGGCTCTGGATCAGTGGAGGAGACCTTTCATTTACACCACCCACAGCACCAAAACTGTACTTACTAGACCAATTCCTTCTCCCTCACTCTGCAGAGGACAGCTAACTGAACGCAGTTTGGCTTTTTGAATGAATACATTATCATAGAAGAGCCTTAACAATTTTTGCTCACAATGCTCAGTTATTTCCAAATAAGTCTACTTGACAGATTGAGGCTCTAAAAATCATGTCCTGTGCTGACCCAGTTCCATGCTGGGCCAGGGTTTTCTCAGCCCACATGGGTAAGAGCTGGCCATGTCAACTGACAGTTGGCGATTCAGAGCATCTGGCCTTGTCAACTGCAGCTCTCGCAAGGCACTGCAGTTAAAACAGCCATCTGTGGCTCGCACAGGCTGTAGAATGTTCCTGCATGTAAGACTTCTGCTCCAGCTTACCTTGTGCATAGCATGGTTTTTACACACTAACCTTCCTGATCTTCTCTCACGTTCCCGGGCAGGTCTCGCATGGACCTCGCTAGGCTGCTTTTCCTTTAGTGTGGCTTCTAAGCTGATCTCTTGGACATGCAGTGTCTCCTTGCTAGGCGTGCTCTGACTAGGTAGATTCTGGCAGAGCTCTCGGACGTGCGAACTGGGCACATAGACTGAGATGCTTGATTAACATGAAGTAAGTAATCCTTCTGCAGACTTTCAAAGTACCTTTTATTAGATGGACATTTCCTTACAAACTGTTTGCAAGCTCTCAAGCACGGGCAAGACTGATTTCAAAACCTGATTGTTTTTTAAGAAGCTCTATGATTCATAAAGTGCAGTGGAGTAAATATATGTCAATTTTTCAGATTAGGCCTATGTTCAGATTTTCTACCAGCAAATGGTTTAAAGAAGAATGACAGGTGGGAGAAGCAAGGCAGGGGAATGGACCTCTTCTTCATGGAGATTCTAATATAAATGCCCCAAAGTTCGTGACTGAGAGGATATCTAAAGATAAAGCAGCAGTATTAGTTAGTTTCAAAAAAGGGAAGGGAAGAAAAGAAATGTCAGAAACTTCTGTTGCTGTATTATTAAGTGAGCATTGATTCTGTGCAAAGAACCGTGCTACTGACTTGTTCACACCTTAAATCCTATCAGACTTTGAGCTTTAGGAGGGCAGCCAGTGTGTTTGATTCACTACCATAATCTTGCTTGGCACAGCGTTTGTAACATAATAGTCACTTAATAAATATTTGTTGAGTAAATGAATAAGTTAAAATTTTATTTATTCCTATTCACAAGTCTGTAAGGTAGATATTTTTAGATCCGTTTTCTACTTAAGAATGTTAAAGTTCAGAGAGATTGAGTAATTCACCTGTGATCCCACGTGTATGTAAGCGGCCACTAGTCAGGCAGTTTGAACCACCAATTTGGACAACCCAACCTCCATATCCTAGAAATGTAGGACTGGAAACAATGAAAATAGTCCTTGTCATAAGTCAGACTTCTCCAAACTCTTTCAGAATCTCGTTCTGACCTCAGGAAGATTCCGAGATGTCATCGTCTATTAACCTGAAAGTCAGTAGATGTTAAAGTTCATCACTAAAGTCCATGGCTTTGGACAGGACACATTGTTTCTCAGGCTCATTTTCTTCATCTGTAAAAGAATAAGTCTATATGATCTAATCCCATGCTGTAGATTAATCAGCTTTGTAGAAAGCTAAATGCCTTCCCTGTCAGTCTTAAAATACCATAGCCTGAGTGACTTAAACAGATATTTATTTCTCAACAGTTCTGGAGGCTGAGAAGTCCAAGATCAGGGTGCCAGCACAGTTGGGTTCTGGTGAGAGGCCGCTTCCTGGCTTCTGTTGGCTGCCTTTTTGCTGTGTCCTCACAAGGTAGAGAGACAGAGACAGAGAGACCTCTAATGTCTTCCTCTTCTTATAAAGACACTAATCCCATTATGGGGCCAACACCCTCATGACCTCATCTAGACCTGATTACCTTCTAAAGCTCCACCTCCTAATACCATCACATGGTGGGCGGGTGTGGAGGGGGGAAATTAGGGTTTCAACATGTGAATTTCGGGAGGACACAAACACGAAGTCCACGATGCCGTCTTTGTTCATTTCAATTATTAGCAACTCTACAAAGTAATGATAAGAAAAAGGGAAGATCTCTTCTTCCTACGTGTTAGAGAGAGATGATGTTACAGAGTCTGAAAATAAAGGCCTGTGTTCAGATCAGGCGATCCCCACAGAGACCAACCAGCTGGCTGCTAGGAAGTGAGGGTTTGTCTTAGGGATTCTTTGGGTCCAGAAGCGTCCTTCAGAATCGCAAGCTCAGGAACTCAAATTTGCCAGCATACTGGCAGTGGTCCTACAGAGTCTGCTGTGTTTACCAGGATGCCAATTTACTTTATACCCAGCAGGGAAGCACTGTATATTTTTAGCAGAGCAGCGGCACAACCAGAATTAGAAAAACCATCCTGCAATGGTATGGAGACTGCCTACGGCAGGAAGAAATGGGCATGGTGCTGGGGGGGGCAGAGACTGTTTAATGGAAAAATTCTATCACGCCACACTGAGGAAGCCACGAAAGTCAGGAATACGTATAGAATAATCTCGTCAATGCAAAACCTAATGCAGACATGCTTACACACACGGAATATTTCTGGATGTAACAAGCCCTTAAGAATGATTACATAAGTTGGACTTCCCCGGTGGCACAGTGGTTAAGAATCTGCCTGCCAATGCAGGGGACGCGGGTTCCATCCCTGGTCCAGGAAGATCCCACATGCCACGGAGCAACTAAGCCCGTGCGCCACAACTGCTGAGCCTGCGCGACAGAGCCCATGAGCCACAACTACTGAGCCCGTGTGCCTAGAGCCCGTGCTCTGCAACAAGAGAAGCCACCACAGTGAGAAGCCTGTGCACCGCGATGAAGAGTAGCCCTCGCTCACCACAACTAGAGAAAGCCTAAGGGCAGCAATGAAGACCCAACACAGCCAAAATTAATTAATTAATTAATTATTTTTAAAAAGATTGATTACGTAAGTGGAGGGGAGTAGGCGAGGAGTGGGATGGTGACAGGATTGGCCATATATTCTGCCAGGCCCAGGGCAAAACGGAAGTGCAGGACCCTGTGTTCAATAATTATTAAGAATTTTGAGAAGGCAAAAGCAGAGCAATAAACCAAGCACAGGATCCTTTTACACACAGACCCTGTGTGAATGCCAAGAACATATGGCTGTGAAGCCAATTCAGGTAGTAAATTATGGTTGGCAAAGTGTGAAGAAGTCTTTTTAAATACAGGTTTCCCCCGCTATCCAAAAGTAGAGCGCTCCTATGAAGCCTTTCGTAAATCGAAATGGAGGACAGTGAAGAGTATCCCCGATTTTCAGGAAGTTCAATTGACAACAATTTGCTTTTCTGAAAGACCTATATTAGTACCTATTTTTGCTAACCAAAAGAAATCCGAAGAGGATTTTCACTTTTAGGAAAAATGCCTGTCTTAATGTAGGTCTTTCAGAAAAATGAAGTGACATAAATTGAACTTTCGGAAAGCAGGGGATACATGTATGTGTGTTACCTTTATGTTTACAATGTGTGAGCACCTTTTTAATCCAAAAATCTATATTTTGAAAAGTTGTATAAATCAAAACTTGGGCAGAGGCCGTGGAAATGCAAAGAAGGGAAAAACTGAGAAAGACATTTTATATTCTGAATCACAGGACTTGGTAATGTGCAGACAGGTTTATACCCTCATGTACCACACAGCACAGAGATAATTGTCTAAACATTCACAATTACAACTATGAAATCGCACTTATTTTAAGAAAGCTTCACTTATGAATAGGAGTTGGTTAGCAGAAGGTTTTCCATATACATCTATTTCTCATTCTCCTGGAGAAAAATATAAACATACAAAGTGATGGTGAAACTCTTATATTTCATTACTGAGGCAAGGGAGTTCTCATCCTACCCAGAACTTTTTATAATCACCATTCTATTTCAAAGACAAATACATGTTAAAGCATATCAGTTACAAAAATTGAGAAACAAGTAATACAAATATTTTGTTTTATAAACACCTGACTCTTTTGGGGGGTGAGGTGCAGGTAGGGGACTCTTTTTGCCATGTCAAACATTCAAGAAAAGAGGCATATTATTGGGGTGATATCATCCAGAAATTCACTTCACAAATGCTAAAGGACAGCAGTTTCAGACTGGCACTCAGGAATGAAGTGACTCTTTTATTCATGGAAGGAATCAGAGTAACTCTGCTGCCCCACATCAGAAACCTTGCAATCTCAGTTATCCCTAACATGTTCTCACAGAGTCGAATCCAGCTGACCACTTAACACAATTAAGCCCAGAACACTTTTCAACTTTTGGGATGTCACCTTGTTATTCATTCATCTAGTTCTGTTGAGCTAAGAATCTGTTCTACGTGTGCACACCACGATCCTCCAAGGTGCCAAATGTCTAGTGGAAGGAGACAAATGAGAGAAGTGATCGTTACAAAATCGCGTGATCATTGCAAAGGTTGGGAGAAGCCCAGAGGCTGGCACCTGACCTGGACTGGGAAGGTCTGGAAAAGTTGCCAAAAGAGAAAGTGCCTGAGCAGAGTGGTGTTGGTAGTTATAGGCAATCTACCCATCACATGACTTTGAAATAGTTTAATTGAACGAGAAAAAAATAAAGATCTTCATTTTTTCTCAAAAGAACCTATGGTGAGAGTTGTATCACTCAAGCTTAGTGCCTTTTTTGAATTTTCTCTTACTGGAGGGAACAGAGAATGGAGGGAACAGACAATGGGCAGGAACCTAGCAGGCAAGGAGTGCACTGGAGGTGATTCTGAGTTACTCGTTTTCTGTGTGGTCCAGTTTATGCCTCTTGGATTGTGTAAAAGTGGGGACATACCTAGACATGCAATTTCTAATGGTATAGTACCCTTACTCATCTGAAAACTTTCAATTAATATGGAAAACTCAGACTTTTTACCGTGAGAAGCCAAAAATGTCACTGTCC